CCCCGACCTGCTCCCCTGGCACCCCCATCCAACCTCTTGCCATCAGGGCAAGAGCGACCCCAGTGCCCTCCAGCTTGGAACTGGTTGGCAGCTGCGAGGTGGGACAGAGGGACCTTCTGGGCTCAGCCAGCTCAGCACCACCCCCAAATTGCCCGGGGTGCAGGGGGAGCAGGGGGGGAACCTGGAGTCCCAGATCTAAGGGGAACGTTTTTCATCCAGATGGGAATCGAGCGGGATTCCGAGCACAACGTCGTCGACCCCCTTGCCGACGGGACAGAGACTGCAGGGCACTGCCCCCCTCCTCCTCTGGGAGACACTCTATAGATTTCCAGGTACTGTGGAGCACGAGTGGGTTGATGGGTTTTTTTTTTTCCCCATTCTGGGAGGGGGCAGCTCTGCCTGCTGCTGGGTTTCCTCTTTTCCCAGGAATAACACGATGGGGATGAGAGGGAGGAGAAGGGAGGGATCCACCAAAGTAACTTTTAGCCAAAATAGTGCTTCAAGTGGGTGGGAAATGATGAGGTGACCCTTTCTTCTCCAGCCCTGGCAGCATTCCTGACTCTGGACGCTGACAGCACCAACGTCCTGTCCCAGGACCAGTGCTGGGTGAGATAGATGGATGGAGCTTTCCCTGCCTTCACCCAGCCCAGCTTTGGAGCTTGTTGTCATCTCCTTGTGCACCTTTTTGCTTTCTCTTATTCAGCTGCGTTGCCAGAGAAGATGTTGTAGCAGAACTTCCTCAAAATAAAATAAAGTGGCACTTTCCCTCCTTAATATTCTCCAGCAATTTCTGGGGCTGTTGGGAAGGGCTAATCCCTGGGCTGCAGCTCTGGGATGGCTCCAGGAAGGGCGTGGGATCGTGGTTTGAAGTTGAGGCAGGGGAGGTTTAGATCGGATTAGGAAGAATTTCTTTGCTGAAGGAGTGATCAGGCACTGGAACAGCCTGCCCAGGGAGGTGGTGGAGTCAAATCACTTTGTTCCCCATTTCTCTCCCTCCTTCCCCCCGGTGGCACAGGGGGACAGGGGATGGGGTTTAGAGTCAGTTCACAGCCTGGTGGTTCCTGCTGCTCCTTCCTCCTCCCCGACAATGACACCCTTCCCATGTCGAGTTCCCTCCCCTCCCCTGCCTGTCGGGCCAACAGTTGCACTGGGCTCTGGAGTCTCCTAGTTCCTCATTGGATCCTCTCTCTGTCTCCTGGCAGGGCTGCTCCTTTTCTTATCCCGAGGAAGCAGATTTCCTGATGTGTTTACTGCATCTCTGTGGTTGCAGAACCTCCCTTCATGTCAATAAATCACAGTCCAGCAGAAGTTCAGAAACCCTGAGGCTGAACTGAGCTGGATGGTGACCACCACAACCCCCAAACCAGGGATGAAGGATTCCCCCCCACCTTGTAATGTAAATTGTTAATTGAAATAAGTAACACTGGGGGGGGGAAAGAAATATTTGGGAAAAACGCACCTAAAAGAGAACATAAGGGACATGCAGAATAAAAACAGGGCCCAGGTAATAGTGAAACTGTGAGAACTGACCCCTCACCCCAACAGAAACTCATCTGGGGGTGCTGGGGGTGCCCCCGGCCACAAGTGCAGGAAAGGTTTGGCAGCACTTTGGCTTTCCTGACCCACTGGTGGATCCACTTGGGTGAAAACCCTGGAAGTGCCCCAAGGACAGACACAGCTTGAGGCAAAATTGAGTTTATTGACCCACTGCAGGATCCATCTGGGTGAAAGCCCCTCTGGGTGCCCTGAGGGTGGGAGAGCTTTTGCTCACTGCTCGACCTTGGTGAAGCATCATTGAATCCATCCAGGAGAAGAACTTGCCATTGGTGAGGAATGTGGGAAAGGGTCAGGATCCACCCGGCCCATCTCCATCATTGGGCCATCCATGGGGGTAGAGTGGTCCTACAGGTGTGGCCCCGTTGGAGCCACCTCGTGTCTGGTCCCAGGTGATGCCCTCACCCCAGTGCCATGTCCCACAACTGCCACCAATGTGGGAAATGTTTTCCCTTTCCATCAACTTTAACCCAGCACCAGCGAATCCATACGGGCGAGTGACCCTTCAGGTGTCTGGAGTGTGGGAAGAGCTTTGTATGTCATTCCCAGTTAACCCAGCACCTCTGGATCCACACAGGTGAGAAGCCCTGCAGGTGCACTCGGGGCAGGAAGAGCTTCAATGACAGCAGCAATTTCATACGTCACCAACGTATCCAAGCCGGAAAAAAACCCTTTGTGTGTCCCCAGTGTGGGAAGAGCTTTGCCTGGAGCTCAGGCCTCACCTGTCACCTGCAGCTGCACACTGGAGAAAGACCTTTTGGATGACCTGAGTGTGGGAAGAGCTTTGTGGACAGCTCAGGCCTCACCCATCACCTCTGGGTCCACGTGAGTGAACGTCCCTA